TTGTGCACATAGAAAGATTATTGAAAATGATCAAAGATGCTTATTGAGCTTCACGCACAGTTGACAGTGTATTGGCTATATATTTAATGCCTTATTTTTTAATGTAAGTGTGTGTCATTTAATATTCAGGAGTCTCTAATATATATATATTATATTTATTATATATATTATATCTTATATATATTATATATATATTGAGCATTTAAAGATGTTTCGTCTTAATTTGAAATAAAGATTCCTCAAGCTTCCAATATGTCCAGCATTCTGATATTTTAAATGCTAATTGTATCCACATTACTTTCTTCTCATATATATGTCATTTTTATACACAGTTAAACACTGACTTATTATATATGGTGGCACCTTGGTTCACAAATGCTTTTGTTTGTAAACCAAATTTTCTGCAAACAGAAGCACTTGGCAAAGTTTATTGTATTTGCAAAATCTGCCCTGAGTGCCAAGCACGACTGTGGCCTTGTTTCCCACATAAATACAAGCGTGGCCATCTTTTCCAAAATCATAGCTTGAATTAAATTCATGAACTGAGGCACCACTGCATAAATTTAGGAACTGTACACTGATTGCGGTAGCCATAGATGTGTGTCAAAAGTGAGTCTGTGTCGTTCTATCTTCTTTCTTGCTTCCTATTCGTGTTGCCGAATGTTATATATTTTCAAAACGCATTCATTAGTTTAATATCATTATTCTTCTATATCTCGGTAAGTTTTGACTTTATTTTTTATTTTGTTAAGGAAATATATCTTTTGATGTTTATGATCATGTTTGAGAATTTTCTAAAAGAAAAAATATAAAAGGCAAATGTGGTTTGGGTTTTGTTTTAGTTTGTTTTTTTGTAGTTTAGGCTGGCTTTTAACTTACCATGGCAGCCCAGGCAGGCCTCAATCTCTTAATGATCCTCCTGCCTCAACCTCCCTAGTGCAGGGAGTATTACAGTTGTGTGGCACAACGCCTGGCAGAAAAATGTATTTTATGTCCGTTATCCTTAGTGGCAACGAAATACTCTGTACTACTGCACACGCACGCACACACATACACACACACACACACACACACAGTGGAAGTACAAATAAAGTACAATTTGAGTATTTTTTCAAATGACAGTTACTAGTAGATGCCTGCTTATCAGTACTATTTAATTTTTTTCTTTGTAATTAACTGGGAACTTTAAGTGTGAAAACTTAGAGAATTAGATTACTATAATTCCACGTTCGTTCTTTACAAACAATTTTCTCATTTTCCTCAGGAAATGGTGATTTTGTTAAGCATTGTGTGTGTATTGGATGAATATGCAAGCATATATTTTTACTGACTTTGTGGACAACCTCTCGTCACCTGTTTTATTTCTTAATCTGTTGTGTACAGGTAGCGCCGTTAAGATGTTTCCTATGCATCAGAAGTAAGATGTCTAGAAGATGATAGCAGTGTAATTACATAGTTCATCATAAAGGATCTGACTTTGGCACAGCTGGAAATTAGTTTAAAGTTTTGAATTAATCTGAATGACCCCAGTTTTACTACTGCTGAGGTTCTAGAAATGATAAAATGTCAAATCACTGGAAATAGTATAAACAAGCTGACATGACTAATGCATAGTTTCTCGGACTTGTTCCATAGTCTGTAGACTTTATTACCACCTGCAATATTTTCTTGAGATATGTTTGTCTTAATGAACATGTGTGTCATCTGCCTTACTATAATGTATGTCTGTTATATAAAGAACACAAAATCCACTGCTCTGTGCATTTCAGTTTTATATGCACTAAAACCTTAATGCACAAAAGAAATAACAGTGGTGAATCAGTTTTGCTTTGATCATATCTTAATTTTGAGGGGTGCTTGTTAGTGGAATATTAAACTTGGTCATTTTTAGACAATGCTACTTTTTCAACTTTTCACGAGTTTTTCAAAGCCATTAGATGATGAAATTTGTGGACAAGCTCTAAGATCGCAATTTACTCAAATTAAGTGGATGAATAACATATCAATAGAGCCCTATAAAGAATGACCATCTTCACATTGATTCTTCTTCGCCTCACAAAATGTTCTTTTAATATATGAAATTCATATCTTGGCAGATTACCTTAATATGGAAGCTGTTTCATCTATAGCTGACATTATTGGATGTCTGTTGGATTACCTTTCAAAGTTTACATTTTTTTAATTAGAGTATTTCGATTCTGACTACACTCTTCACATTTACTCACACAATCCCTTAGAAAGTATTTCTACTATATTATATCCCTTGACATTTAATTTTTTAGTTTTGCTTTTACCAACTTTTCAAATGAAAAACTAGCTTATGAATTTGTCATGAGCTGGAAGTTGTTCTCACTGGATGGCTTAAACACACAGATGAAATACCCCAAACTCTTTCGGCCAACCTATTTTCCTAAAGATCTTATTCCAACTTCTTTCCTACTCTGTACATTGATGCACCATTACTACAACCAATGAAATTCACTACATTCAAGAGCCTCCTATCACTTCCAAATATTTTTCAGCCATTTCCTTGCTAAATTTTAACATTAAGATTCAAAACTAAATATCTTGACAGAAGAGAGTTTATAGTGCACTGTTTGACAAAAACCTAAATCTTTCTCTTCTTCGGGATAAATTCAAGATTTTGTAACACCGAAGGGCCAGGATATTGGAAAATACACTCTTATTATCTCTTATTATCAATTCAAGATTCTCTCTCTTTCCTCTAGCTTCTTATACCAGTCACACAATGGCAGACAAAGGATACAGATACAACATCTAATAAATGCTATTTCTATCTAATGGACATTAAAAGTGAAAAAAAGGGAAATGAAAAATAGCACGGATTTTTTACTGTTTCTTTTTGGGGGGAGGTTTGTCTTTGCAGACCTTAGTACAGTTTGGATTATTCTGTCTCATGGCTTCTTGTTACACTCAACACAAAGTCAACAATCCTTATTTTGCTAATACCTCTGGAGTCCTTTAATATAATTCAGCTGTGATTGACTTGTTAACTTACCTACCTATACAGTATTTATGCCTTGAAGAAAGTAGGTGGTGAAAGCTGCATTAGACTCTGCTTATTGCTTGTGGTTACTTGGAATCAGACAGATTGTTCTTCAATACCTTCCATTATTCTTTCTGGAGATAATAAAAGATACAACCTATATTTTCTGGTTTCCTCTTTGATCTGATGGTTTTAATTTCAGATCCTATTTTAAACTTGACAAACGTTCAATGTCTGGCAATCACTATGTTAATATTCAGAAATAAAAACAATAATCCTACTGTGTGAGTACCTACAAATAGGATCAAGAAATTTGGCTTTCATTTTAGATTTCTTCAGAAAGTCTGTGTAGCATTTCAGCCTTGCCAGTGGGAGGTTTCACTATTTTTTTGTCTTTGTTGGCTATGGATTTACTTAAACTTTATAGTGTATTGTTTTCCCCTTGAAGATAAATATAATAGTAATTCAATTAAATATCGTAATATTGCAGAGCCCTATATGGAATACATCTACTACCTTGTAATGTAAAAAACAAACTTTTGGTGAGTATTTAGGCCTCTTGAAAACAACTGCACAATTGATTAAGGTGATGGTCTTCTGGATAGAAACAAAGTTAACTTGAACATAATTTACGAAGACTAATGGAAAATATTTATGTTGGTATAAGTGGTAGATGTAAAGATTGAATGGCTGTTAAGGCTAATAAATTTACGTATTTACATTTGATTGTGAACAAAAAGCTATGAAACATTTTTAAATAATTGTGAATAAATTAAAAAGTGACTGTACAGATGAGATTATGCTTTCCAAATATTCTTGAGGCAAATAACTATAATATTGAAATATGATTTATTGAAGGAACTTTACCTTCCTAAGTTAATTTCTATAAGTTTGTATTTCTATAAAAGTAATCAGTGCTTGTTTTAGCAAAGGAAAATTACTGTTCAAAATACATTAATACAATGTGAAACTAAATTTTAATATCAAAATCAGAACTCTGGATTTCTATGTTTAATTTTGCTTCTGTATTTTTAGTTCCTTCTGTTCTTTATTTTCCTTACTTTGATTTGTGTATTTTTACTGTCATATTTTTGCTTTGATGAGATATCCGTAGGAGTACATGTATTGTTCTTCATCTCATACTTTTAAATAATATACAAATTTTAACTATTTATATATATAATTTTATTCATGTAGAATTTACAATTTTTCATAGTCTTGCAGTATTTTTCTTTAGTTTTTGTGATGCAGTATCTTCACAGTTATATAAGTGCTCCATCTGGCAGTAAAAATAATCATTTTACTCTTTTTTAATGCTAGGATGGGGAATCAAACTTTATATATCAATTTAAAATATTTGCAAAATATCTGCAGAGTGAAAACAATATGTAACATCTAAGTTTCTAAAACATTTAAATATATCAATTAAGATACTAGTTTATTTTACCAGTCACTATTGGAAGTCATTGTTGATTTATAGTATTAAGGTACTTTTTTGTGATATACAATCTACACATTCTATTAATGGATAACTACCTATCTTATATCTACTATTGTCTATCTTCTATCACTTTAGATCTACCTATCTTATTTTTCTTTCTGCATCTTTAATGTGTATCTTGCACCCTGGATTCTTCTGTATTAGTATCAATTATTTTGATACAAATTATGAGGACTCCCTCCCTCATATTTCGTATGTAGTACAATTTGATACCAGTACTACATAAAATATTTCTGTGTAACAATTTTAACCCACTCTCAATGCCAAATTAAGATTTCACAGATGGACCCACTGAAGTGAAAAGTACAGTTATTTCATATATTCATAATCATTAACTTTAGAAAAAAGTCACCTTTCTAATTTTTCACTCAATCATGTTTGCAAATCTGATCTACTTTCTATGGATAATACTCTTCAACTTGAAATTTTTACTGTACACATAACTAAATGTACTGTGGGTACAAATATATATACATATATATTTTTAATTAGGCATTTTCCATCTGAAAGTTCCTGAGTCGTCTCCTATTGGCTCGGCTATTGGAAGAATAAGGGCTGTGGATCCTGATTCTGGAAAAAATGCAGAAATCGAGTACAACATCGTGCCAGGAGACGGTGGAAATTTGTTTGACATTGTCACAGATGAGGATACCCAGGAAGGAGTCATCAAACTCAAAAAGGTATGTAGACACATGTTTTTGGAGAGTTGATTACATAAGAATAAAGAACTGAAAAAATAAGAATGGAAAATAGCAAATAATTTTATTTTCCCCTTATTGGGCAATATTTTAAATAAAATACAGATCCAGAAACTATGAAATGTTCACTTCTCTGAACATTGTTATTTTGTGAATTAGTGGGCAGATCATTTTTATGCTCAACAATCATCCATATTCGTTTGGGTACATTATTTTAATATTCATACAAGTTTAAATTCATTGTATTGCTCTAAATACAGATAAAACATTAATTAAAAATAAGAGACAGAAGTCAAATCTTACTATACTAGGATTGGTCTTGAATATTTTATGTTTTTTCTGTAAATCCACATTCTCTTTTGTGGGCCTTGGTATCACAGTATCATGAGTATAAGTAAACTTTAATCACTAAAGAAGTGAAAAAAAAACAGAAAGAAATCAAGGGACTGAGGAAGCACTCACAAGGAAAGTATGAAGAAGTTTACAAGGAAGGAGGGAAGGAGACAAAGAGGAGAGAAACAGATAGGGAGAAGGAGAGAAATTGACTGTGAAAGGCTTGGTGGGACCAACACAGAGTTCGTTGGACTCGCAGTGTATGTAATTCAATCCTAGTCATCAAAATTATACGTTTAGGCTGATTTTGAAAACTACAAACACAGAAAGCAAACAAAGAAACTAAACAAATATACCAAAAATCACAGTTGGCAGTGATAATTTTAAAGTTGAACAACACAAAATAAGACAAAAAGATGAGATAGAGGAAGGCCGAGCCTTAGGAAATCATATTAAATTCTTTGGATTGTCATCCTGTATTTTTTGCTCGTTTGTTTTTCTCTTTCTCTTTCAGTATCAAATCAGACTTATAAGACTAATGTTTAAATACTTTGCAAACATCAGAATTTTTTTCTTTTTATTGAGTTTATTGGTACATTTTAGATATACAGTAAAGTCATTATTGGGATCTTGTAGCTTTACATGACACAAACATCAAATTTAAATCCTTTTAATAAGCAAATATAAATCCTGTTATAATACGAAAAGTAGTAGAAGCTACTTTACACCAGTAGATCAGAAAACAAGTAAAAGTTAAGTTCTTCTACAAAGAGAAATAAATTCAGAATAAGCGATGCAATATGTACAACATACATATTTATGCACTGATTTATATTGATGTCATTATTATAAATACATGTCATTTTATAATTTATTTACAAGCACTAACTATAATTTCACTCCATTATTCAATAAATATTTAGGGAGTGGCCACCATTTCCTAGATGCACTCTGAACTCAGAAAGCAGAGCACTAGGACTGGGGATTTATCTCAATGGTATGGAAGACCGCCTCTCAAGCACAAGGTCCTGATTTCAATCCCCGGTACTAAAAAAAAAAAAAAAAAAAAAAGAGAGAGAGAGAGCGAGAGAGAAGAAGAAAGGGGAGAGGGGGAAGGAGGAAGAGAAAAAAAGAAAACAGAGCACTGAACTAAAGAGACAGGGAGTCTATTTTTCATGAGCTTCCATTTTACTGGGAAAGCCATAAAATAAGCAAGGATACTAAAGATCAATGTGGGAAGTGATAACTTCAAAGACATGAAGTCAGGTAAAAAGAGAACAAGAGGGTGAAAGGCAGTTACAGTGAGTTGATCAGAAAAGACCTTTTGAGGGAGGAAATAAGGAAGAGACGCAGCGTGGGGTCTAACCGAGGCGTGTTGTGAAAAATGGTGCAGCAGTTGCCAAATCTCTGAAGAGGAAGTGAAGCGGATGAGGTGGCTGGCGGCCGGGGGGTCCTGTCGGAAGTGGGGCTTGGTGCTCGGGAAGGAGCTCAGACAGAGGAAGATGCCACCCCCTCCCCGGGGAGTCTTGAAGCCAGGCCAAGGACATGAATCCAAAAAGTGAGAGCTTAGGTTGAGCTCAGATCTACATCACCTTTACTCTTGAGAGCCAGCTTGCTCTGTGTGGCTGGTGCAGTCATCTTCAGGAAGGGAGAATAGAAACAGTGCAGCGAGATACTACGGAGAGGCAGCTCCGAACTACGACCCCATTGTTCTACCAGAAAAGACATTTGCAACCTACAGACTAAAAAATAACTGAGGCTTTGAGACAAACTTTAAAAGTTATCTGTAATACAGATTTTTACCTTGTCGAATGTAAACAGAGGTAGGTCTTGACTTACTGCGACAGTATGGTTGTATAAAAATAATCGGAAGATATCCAGGTGAATGAAGCCCATGGAAAAGTGAAAAACAACTTAAGTGGCAGTATTTATATAAATACAGTATCTTTGGAGGGTGAAAATTGTGTGATACAACTATTCATACATCCAGTAAATTCTCAGAAAAATTTAACCGATCCTTATTAAATGTTCTTGAAGAAAGAGGTGTATTGAAATAAATGTGTTTGGAAAAAATCAACAATAGTATTTCAATTTCATAGTAATCTTCAAATTATTTTCTGTAAGTTTCTTTCAGAATGCTGAAATGCATAGAATTAGAGAATCAGAATTTGGAAATAAAATCAAATTCATATTGGTACCACATGTTTAGTATGCTGAATTCTTTCGGAAAGTCCAAAAATGTATAGTCTACATATGAATATGTAGCTTTTTAAAATATCAGTTATTTTAATTTTTGAACAGATTTTAAACTATAGCAGATAAATGAAACATGAAATTATTTGATTTCACATTTTTCTTATTCACATCAAATCAGTTAATATGTTCATTATTTGAAAGCATTTAATTTATTAATTCATCTTCAGAGTATTTTATTTGCTTTTCTCTTACTATATCCTCTTGTTTCTCTGCTTTACAGGGAGGATGTTAAAGGATAAATATAATAGTTTTATATAAGCTAAGAAAAAAAATGAAGAAAATTTTTTTTTTTTTTTTTTTTTTTTTTTTTGTATGGGGAATTGAACTCAGGTCCTTGAGCTTGTGAGGCAGGTGGCAGCACCACTGAGCTAAATCCCCAGCCTGAAGAAAAGTATTTTTATTTATGTTGTTTTTAACCTCAGCTTTGATTCACATTATAAGGACTGTGCCAGGATATCACTTAATCAAGTCACTTTGAATTCAGAGTAAAATTATGAAACACCATAAATCTCTCCAAGGCTAAAGATATTGGTTGAAAATGAAATGAAATAAAACTTACTCTATAGTCCACACTCACATCATATTATACTGGCCAAAGTATACGGAGAAGAACACTGCCTTAAATATTTTTGAATAATGTAGCTTACAAACACTAGCAAAACCAGGATGAAACTTCTTGTAATTTCAATGTCCTCTTAAAATTAGGAGGTGGTCTAGATTTAAAATCAGGAAATTAAGGG